ATTTTGATGCTAATACTTTTGTACTTTTACTTGAGTAACATTTTGAATGCAGGACTTTTACTTGTAACAGAGTATTCCTACACTCTGGTACTTGGTACTCTGGTATCCGAGTACTTCTCCCACCGCTGCATACTGGCAAATGTATGTATGACTGCAGACAAAACCTAGGGTCATATGTGTAATGTAACTAGTATGCAATAATAACTGTTATAGCCTACTGTGACTTTATGTGAATGGACCCTTCCAGCCATTACAATTAAGAGGAACTGGTGAGAAAGTGTTGATGTGCTGGAAAAGCCTCTATTCCACTAATTAAAACAGCTATGTGTAGGTTAGAGTTATTGGTAAACGCATGTAAAACTGCTAGGAACGTTAATCCTGCTGAAAGCATGAGAGGCACATGTGCCCAGACTGTATGACCACAGCAGGACTCACGCAGCCCAGCCTCACCCCGCGGGGCTCCTGCAGCTCCTGGCCGGGAAGGCACTCACCTCCTCGGGCTTCCCCAGAGCGGCAGCGGTGCAGGAGCACAGCTTCTTCAGGAAGTCCTCCGAGAAGGAGCCGGCCGGCAGGTTACTCTGAATGTCGACGAAAGGCATTCTGAAGTCTGCTGGAGTCAAGTCTGCCGAAACTGTATGGAGACCAGAGTCCAGCGACAGGAGAGCAGCCGAGTCTACTGCTTCCGGTTGTAGATTTCAAAATATGTTCAGTGAGTTCAAAAAGTAACGTTCAAACTAAAGTAATATTTCTTCAGCTGGTATGATGTTCTTATTGTGGAGGGTGATATTTATATTTCTTAATATTGTATCTTGATTTGTGTGCTTAATATTTGAAAGTTAAATAAAAAAATGCTCAAATGGGTTTAATACTTTCTATTTATGGTTCACAGAAGCTCTGCTAACACATAAAAAGTATATGTGTGTGTGTGTGTGTGTGTGTGTGTGTGTGTGTCTGTGTGTGTGTGTATATACACACCTTTATACAGTATATGGTATACACCTATACACTCATAACTGAATAAAACAATGCTCTAAGAATGTCAAATTGAAATTATTTTAATTTTGAGATTTTGTTTGCAGAAAATGTAAACTCGTCAGAATAACAAAGAATATGCAGTGAATTAAAAACCGATGAAAACATGGCCTGATGCTAAGAAAACATGTCGTACGGCTTTATTTTGAAAGCAGAACCGGATGTACCACAACTGAGGGCAATGTGCCAAGGTACAGTCAGGCGGACTCATTTTTTTTTTTTACAAACTTTATAGGAATTGGGACAACATATCCACATTCATCCACGATACACTCTAAGCAATTCCTTAGGGATACATATTGTTTAAGTGTTTTTGTTTTTTTTGGGAGGTAGCCCAAAGCGAATGTTAGATACAAAGTTCTTAGTTTATTAATGGATTGATTGTCCAATTTATGTAGGATCTCATTTCTGTTTTGTCTACCAGGAAATCATTTTTCAGTGAGACGTACACTTCCTTATCAAGGGATTATTGCATGTTTCGTCCAGGACTAATATCCCTTTAATGAATAATGAGGGCAGTTGTGGCTGTATAGTTTGGGGAGTCATAACATGTCTCGACATAAGCACATATTCTTGAGGAAGCGCTTTATGTAGTTTAATAATATCTGATGTTGTGGGGTTGAAGCATAGGGTTGAAGTTATTTCTAGTGCAATAACACAATTGTTCATAATCTAGGAGATTTCTGTCAGTAACCATTAAATCAGATGGATTGCAACATTGTAATCCTGCTAGTAATCCGATTGTAAACGAAGCAGTTTTTGTGTCCTGATTAGGTAATCTCGTTACATGTAAACCGTTGCTCCCCAAGCCTGTATACTGTATATGTATACAAAGCTCTCAAGTCTCACGCATTTGGCATGAGACACACGCATTTCACTCCATTCACACGCCACACCTTGTATTTCTCACACAGAGATTTCTTTCCAGGGTACCGCCCACCAAACTAGGCTTGTGTGAGACGCGTGCACTCCACTAGCACCCCCCCCTTTGACATTCGCGGTAGAGGGCTTCATGGGAACTTTGAGGGGAGCCAGAAGTTGGAGTACCAAACACCGCTGCCAAAATCTCACTCTGAACTCTGTTCAAAACTTGAGAGCCCTGTGTATATATACAGGCTAAAAACACGACATGACAGGAATAAGGAAAATACACTGACATTATGTGCAAGGTCATAGCAGCTATTTATTAAAGGTTCTTGCCTGTACATACCAAAAACATTTTGTACATTATAGTAATGTATGTATACATTACACGGTCATCAATCAACAAAACCAACATGCTCTCTGCCTGAGGTACGTTCACATCTATGTGCTAGAATGTGGTCATTTCTACAGTAAGTTTCATTATTGAGATATGTCCGACTTGACAGCTGATCACCATTCTTCACACCAGCGACGTCACACCTGCAGAAAAAAAAGAGATACACATGATTTTTAATCAAATTACGTCTTTTTATGTCCAACGAGTTTCTGTAGCTTCTACTGAGAAATTATACTACTGTAAAACTGTATGATCAGGTGCCAGGAGAACCAAAGCAGTAAGTCTTCCACATGAAGCACACATGAAGAATTTCATATTAAAAAAGCAGATGCCTCGGGATGTTTTGAGCAGTGTTTTATGTGGCTCCATCCATCCTTCAGCACACTCACCGTGGGAGAACTTGCACTGTTTGAGAGCCTCGCTGAAGCCCTCGCATAGACTCAGGTCATACTGGCCGGTAGCACAGTCCAGGAACTGTCTGACCTCAAAGTTACAGGGGCCGGGCTGGGCCTGAGTGGGCCGGGGGGGCTCCTAGGATGATACGAGCAAGGAAGAACATTTGAATCCGACATTTCACAGTCAAACTCCTGAATGGGCTTCATGGTTGAGGTCACACTCAGTCGTCAGCTTCGCTTACAGCAACTTCTCAAGCAACAATCTGGGTATTACTTTCAATGAACAACAAAAAATACATTTAAAATCAATACGCATACTTGGTGGATCTCCTGTTTGACCCAAGTAGCCGTTCATGCTGTACATACATAAAGAAAAAAGGAAATATTTCAACATGGTGATCCTGGCTACTACTTTTATCGTAATTATCATTTAATTTCGAAGCATCTGATAAAAAAAAAAACTAAAATGAATCTGTTCCAAACTATTCATGCTAACTAATATACTTTTTGATACTTTTATGATATCCTGCCCAATATATTGTCTCTCCATATAATATGTCAAAATTATCATATTCATAGCATGGTTCAGGGTTCTCTAGGGTTTATCTAAATGAATAAATCCAACTAAAATCGGCCTTGCAATGTAATTTGTTTTTTCTTCTTAAGAGATCATTTAATATTTTTTATAAATATACACGTTTGGCCTATGACATTTTATTGTCCTCATTCATTTTACTTTACTTTGTTGTTGCAGTAAATAATTATTTAAAAAAATACATATTTGTATTGTTTATAATATCCAACACCATATGAAAAAGGAGGTTAACACTTCCGCTGCAAAATGGTATGTATTATTATTGATGCTCTGGTCAGTGGGGCTCTCTGTAGTCAAATCTGTCTCAGTGTCTTAACTGACCAATCCAAACCTTAAATAAAAAAGCTCAAAGCAGGAACTCCTTTTCTTTGCAATGTTCTAATGATAATCTGCAGGGGGCTCTACATTTCAAATCCTTTGGCCGGATGGAGAAAATTCTACTTTTGAACCATTACGGAGGAAAACACACCATGACCAGTCAGACTTTCACCAGACAGAAGCACCTCCAGAAGAACCGATGACCTGATTTGACATGTTGGAGTCAGTAAAGCCTGTGCCCTGCCACCCTAATCCTACGAGTGATTATGCTTCTCTTACCTGGTATGTGGGCTTGGCTGGCTCAGGGCTGCTGCTGCCCCCGCTGAACGCTCCTGTGAGGGCGCTGCCCATTACGTGGCCCACAGCGGAACCCACTGCCACACCAGCAGCTGTGGTGGCCATCTGGGCCATCAGGCCCGGGCCCTGGGACGGAGCGGGGGCCGGGGCCAGGGCAGCGGGAGGCGCATGAGCTGGAGCCGGAGCATGGGATACAGGATGGCTACAAAGAAAAGCAAAAACATTTGCATTAGACAGGCTTAAATGGACATGACGTATGGTACAAAGCCTGTGTGTCTTTATAAACACAAAACCACTGTAGACCAACATCTTATATTCCAATCAGATGTAGAAGACATTTTAATTATGATATATAATAATTAGGAATTATACCTTCATAAAATGCCATGCAATAACAATGTCTCAGCTGTAGTCTTTTTTTAAATCAATAAAATGTTAAAAGTAATCAGATTTCAAGTCAAATGTATTGTACAAGGTACCAAGTGAAGCCTTAACATTGCTGGAACCTGTGTATATTAATAACTGTTACAGGACGTTCACCCTCGAGAAGTAGGAAACAGGTAATGGTGATTGTTCAGGTATGAAAATCACCTGCAAGCAAATATATTTTGTTGCCAATACTTTTGTCCTTTTACTTGAATAACATTTTGAATGCAGGACTTTTACTTGTACCAGAGTATTTATTCCTTCACTCTGGTACTTCTACTTTTACTTGAGTACAAGATCTGAGTAGCTCTTCCATCAATGCCATTGATAAAAATAAAAACATAACAAGACAAACCACATCTCCATTTGACTTGCCTAAAAGAAGCATGTTTTATATAAAGTAGTGACCTTGCCAAGAACTTCACTCTGGCATAACATGGTCTCAGTAACGAATGACGCAACAACAATTAGGATACATATCAAAGCCATCCTGAGTATAATGTAGTTATTAGCCAGAATACTGACAAACTAGGCTGTAATGTCAAATCTGTTAAAGTCTGAATTCGTACTACCTGCAAACAGGACACATGAGACCATCTGCTATGCCTGCCCGCCCCCCCTCCCCTCAGACTGTGGGTTTCTGTACATGCGTTACCATAGAATGTATAAAGCCAAGGTGTTACCTGGCTGGAGCTGAGGCGCGGCTGCGGCTTCCTCTCATCTTTGAGACTACACACAGTCGGATTGTGATAAACTGGATTGAAGAACCGGAGAACTCTGTCGGTGCTTCCAGAAAATGCTTCTCTGGTCACTGCATGGATGTCACTGCGCGACCTTGTTCTTCTTCTCTCAGTTTTTGGCGGATTGCAAACAAATGTAAAGGTGCATACCGCCACCTACTGTACGAGTGTGAATCATCATTTCATTCCATCTTAACTCATGGACGTATATGGGCCTTTCTCATTTCACTAATTTCCCCTCCTCGACTCCTATCCTCGTGTCTTAGTCACGCCAACAGGAGATGAGAGCGGAGGAACCGAGGAGAGAGGAGTGGAAGCAGCAGGCGGTTAGAGAAATAAGAAATCCTCTCCTCTGAGCGGTCATTTTAAAGAGACGTCCATTAATAATGACAGGAGGCACAGCAGCACTCTGTCTGATGGACAGATGTGTTCATGATGACTTATATTTACTTTTAATGCATTCACAGTGCAGTATAATGAGACAATAACAGGCTACAGAAGCGGACATACACACACACATATATTGTTACGTTCCCTCCAAGTCTAGGGTTACCAAGGGGAGTAACAAAAGACAAGGGTGACCAAGCACGACAAAAAAAAAGAGAAAAACTGATCTCTGAAGCCATACGCAGGTCTTTTAATTAACAAAAAGAAAAAGGGCTCACCAGCCAACTTCCAAAACAAATCTAGATACAAAAATATATACTGGAGACATGGACACCACGCTGTACACATCCAGCCAGGGGAGAAGGAGAGAGCGACTGCAACCCTCCTCATGTCCTATATGGAGGCCCTGATTGGAGAATTAGGAGCACCTGGGGAGAGGCTGCCCCTGGGGACAATCAGGCTGCACCTGGAGAATCAGAGAGAGAGAGCGAAAGACACACACACACACCCACACAAACACTACGGCACGTAACACCCCCGCCCCCATAAAACCCAACAAGTGTTTGGCCAAAGTTACCAAAACACACATTACATAGTTCACAAGCCTATTTTTGAATGCTTGGAAGCCGCCACCTGCTGCTTCCAAGCCACACACACTCCGCCACTAAATGACCAGGGTCAAAACAAGAGAAACACAATCTGTTAGTGTCAGGACCTGGGAGAGAAACAGAATGAGCACGTGTGACACGTCTGTTACGAGCCCAACAGGATAATTGCCCTGAGGATACACTTTACCCCCGGCTATATCATTATGACACCCACACCGTCGACAGGAAATTTGGGGAGCACAGCAACTGGAAAGAAACCAGTAGCCAGTTCAGACTGGACATGGTGAAGATGTGCGGGCACAAAACCCATTTCAATCCCTTTCACCACCATATTCGCATCACAGGCAGACTCAGCACTCAGGGGCAGGGCACCGGCAAGGATGAATGACTGTGAGCCACCACTGTCTCGCAACACCGTGACCTGCCGCTGGTCCTCCACCTTTCCTGACAGAGAGACAAAGGCAGTAGAGATGAACGGTTTCAAACAGTCATCAGGCCCTTTGTTAACAGTGGCCCGTCCACTAGGACACACTGCTGTAACCAATCCCACCCCTTCTGGGTGCTTGCCATCCGCTGTCTGCTTTCTCTTCCAAGCTGCACAGTCTGCTATCCCATGACCTGGGTCACAACAAAAATAAACAAGCTTTGTCTATCCTGGGATCCAACACTGGAACACTGGCACAGGGAACATAATTGTCAGGAGCTCTACGATAAGTGTCCCGCTGAAAAAAAACCACTCTTATGTATCAGTGCAAACTCGTCTGCCAGAGTGGCAGCCTGCTGAAAGGTAGTTACTTTCTGCTCATTCAGATAGACTACCGTACGCTCCGGTACAGTTTTTAAACTCCTCCAACATCACCAACTCACACACTGAAGTAATGTCATCAGCTTTACACCATCTGTCAAAGAGGACTTTCTTCTCCCTCGCGAAGTCCACATACGTTTGGCCAGGAGTTTTCTCCAGGCCGCGAAAACGCTGACTGTAGGCCTCAGGCACAAGCTCAAACGCCCTGAGAACATTAACT